GATGGAAGTGAAAACGTTAAGTTTTTTGCCACACATTTTTATAACATTTGCAGTTAGGCACAAAATGTGTTCACATCTATGTATCCTATGGGTTAGTTGAAAAGGATAGTAACCACAAAAGTAATTTAATTCTGTTTTAACACCTCAAAAGCTTTTATAAATTTTTGCACACACTGTAAGTGATACAGTAAGGCCTGCCTAAGGAGTAAGTGTTCCTTTTCTGTTTATTCATACTTTAATTGCACATGCAGATGTTCATAATGTTTTTTACATACCTAAGAACGAATTACCTAGTAAACACCTTAAAATTATTACACGCTGGTATGTTTTATGTGATGGACAAGGGATGGTTGCCCCGTGTTGTCATTCAGATGCAGAGAACATGAGAGATGGTTTCTTTTTTTTCTTTTTTCTTTTTTTAAGTTGAAGTGTCTCTTTGTGCTTACAACTATCATCTGCTTGTGTAGAGCAGAATAATGTGTATTTACATATTTATTAAATCGTGTACAAAATTAGAAACATATGCATACAATGTTTTATTATAACTTGTTGATCTCAGTATGTTTATGTTTCATAATGTAAGTTGTTTATGAGTATTTCTTTCCACATTCATATAATTCTTTGGGTACAAAATGTAATTACAAATGTCTGTGTAAAACAGACTTACGATTCCGTCCATCTGTAGTTATGAAGCTTTGAATATGAAGTTATATTTAAAATAGGCTGTTACAATACCGTCCATCTGTAGTTATAATTTTAATATGAAATTATATAAAGGTGATGTTTCATTACATGTCTTTATATTTTCCTTCGTTCCTTTCCCACATACAGCACATGGCCTTTCCTCAGTCCTCTGTGCTGGCCACCATTGTAATGCCGCTGTCAATAGGTAGCTGAGTCCACTTCGTAGGTGTCCCTCACCTCAGAAATGGAGCCCTGGTAAAGCATGCAGAGGCGAGGAAGGTTAGTAACACCTTAACTACAGGAATTAATGACAAAGAACTTTCATTTCTGTGTATTCGTGGTACAGTCCATTAGAGGCGTGATCGTGATACAAGAAAGTAAGAGCATGTATAAATTAATTAATTAAAATATCAGATGTGATGCATTTCAATCAGATAATAAAACAATTACCTGACATGTTTCAGCTCTAACAAGCCATCCTCAGGGGTATATATTCACTACCTTGGGAAGACGGTGGATTACATTGTGTGTGAGTGTGTGCGAGTTTGTGTGCGAGTGTGCGCGATTGTGTGTGAGTGTGTATGCATGAGTGTGAGATCATCTGATGGTACTGAATGTTGTAGTTGAGTGTTTAGCTCTCCTGCTTCATATTCGGGAGTCTTGGGTTCAAATCTTTTCCCAGAGATCAGCTGTCCTGGCTGAGGTTTTCTTGTGGTTTTCCTCAGTCCCTCCATCCCAATGCCTTAAATTAGGTCATGACCACCTCCTTCCACATTTTTTCCAATTTGTTACTGTCATTCTTTCATCTATACTGAAAGTGCAAGTTAATAAATTATTAATAAATATAAATAAATCATCTGGTGATAAAGGTATTAAAAATACCAGCATTTAACTGGCATTGATAGAAGACCTTGTGTTAAACTATAATGTGTTACATTTGATGATTTTAATTACTTTATTTATAGGCAAGGAATGTTAATAGTAAGAAACTGTTTTAAACTGAGTGTGCTGTTTTAATTTTGGTATGTTTTAAAATTGATAATATTGTTATACATTTAAATGTGGACTTCGGTTGCATATGATTGCCATTTTTTTATGTTAGCTGGAACTGTGATACAGAATTTTAAGTCTTAATATTTTCTGGATTAAGGAGGTACAATTGGGCAGTAAGCATCATGTTTCATAGAAATCTGATTTTATATATGTAATTTGTTTCTGTTCTTATGATCTTAGACAGCTTGGTAGTTGTTTTATTGTTTTTAGAAAAGGACTTTGAGTTTATATTGAAGTCATCTTATGCAGCAGCCATGATGGCAAGAATGTCAGCTGCAATGCAACTGATTTGTGTTATTGTAAATCCATTTCTGGACAAGCTGCATGGTCATGTTGTTAGCACTGCTTCATATTTGGAATGTTCCATGTTCAAATTTGGCCTTGAAATAGGCTGTCGTTCTGACTGACGCATTTTGTGGCTTTCCTCAGTCCCGCTAATCTTGTGTCTATTTAGTATCTTATATTAGACCATGACCACTCCTTTCCAATCCATTATCATCCTGTTATTCACAGCAGGTAGCCCTATATATTTACAGTGGCGTTAATTAAATCGCAGTCATGAGAATGACTGCTTTCTTGGATGTTGTGCCGTGTAGTCTTGTGATGGATGTTTAAGAGGTGCTTACTGCCTCCATTCTAATGACGAGGTAACTGCATGTGAAAAAGGGGATGAAGTCGTGGCAACAGGCTGGACAAGGTCGATACTTGACCAGAACCAGAGGGTGAGGAGGATGGAGGGTTGATAGTAGAGTTGAGGACAGATTGCAAAGGAACCAGAGGGAGAATTAGAGACACCACAGCCAGGACATGGGAGTGGGGGAACATGAAAATAGGAACAGGAACAGGAAGGAACAAGTAAGGACCAAGGAAAATGTAGAATAAATAGGATCATAGTAGCTACATTGTTCTCTTCTGCCCCTCTGCTACTACATGAATGTTGAAATATTATATTAGAGAAGATTTGGTCGCGTATCAGCTGAGAAACTCTTCGGAGGACTCTGCTGTACAGAGTTGGTTTGCTAGGTAAATCAGTGCTCGAGACGCCCGTAGAAAATTCCCGAATTCGACTGCCACGAATGTTTCTCCAACTTTCGATGTTTTGTAGGATTTGAGGTTCTCAGGGCGGCGAGTATGTCTCATGGGTTATAGCGCCTCCATCATCAGATCGATGATGGAGGCAGCAAGGACCTCTGAAACGTTGGTAAACTTCTACCAGACTACACTGTGATGCACCCCAGAAGTCAGACTTTGCAGTTCGTAGTTCTGTCAGGTAAAATTAAATAAGTCTCCGTTATAGGAATATTTTTCTCTTGCTGACGACAAACATCTGAAGTTATTCATAAAGTATCATAGCAATGTTGCCACATTGTAGACGATGTTAACATGGCAACCTTGCTCTCGGTTGATGCAAGAGAAAGCTAACCTGCTACTTACACTCTGTCTTGTGCTGTTGTTACCGCGACGTTGTTCGATCAGAACTGGTTATGTGGACTGGAAGGTGTGGTTTCGTGTATTGAAAATTACCTAAATTTAAAGAACGACTTAATCGGTACTTATTAAGGATATGACTCCGTAAACCAACGAAATAATATTACACGTGTTTAACAGTAAGCCTGTGTACTGACTTTTAGAAAGAATGTTTCGTGAGAACAAAACAACATTCCTCCGGTCGTTTTTGCGTAATTCAAATCAAGTGTAAAAGTGATTCGTGTTTCGGGTAGTATGTGACTGATGATGTGTTATAAGTGTTAGGTGACGATTTATACTTTAATGTGTTATGGAAGCGTTTTTAATCACACAAGAATAACACTCTGAGAAGACGTAATGAGTTTTTCTGTACGTTTTATGTGTGAGGTAAGCAAATTATTTCGTCTCATCGGTGATTTCAATGCATGAGTAAGACATAAACATTTCTCCATGTTGAAGGTCAGGTGTCGATTACATCAAATATGAAAAATGTGTTGGGGAAATTATAAGTATTAGAAGTTATTATTATTTTAAGCGAATATACCCCATTGGTATTTATCTACATTCCATGGATAACTAGCTTCGTTTTATTATGAGTCACCTGTTCAAGGAGCCCCATTCCAAGACCATTACGTTCTTTGGAGTATAATTTATCTGCCTCTCACTTTTTGACGTAATATTCTTTGATTTATTGTAGATGATGACTACATACAAAGCTTTTATGCCCTGCAGCAAATTTTTTCCTCTTTGGACTCAGCGTCATTGCCATTCATGAATAGTACTTACATTTATTTTTGGATTTCGTTTAAGCCCTGGATGCTGTCTGTTTTCACTGATCAATCGGACAGCTATTGAACTGTTAGTGTATATTTTCGAAGGGCCTATGAGCGAATTTTGTTTTTTACATTCGACTTAGTACCTAGAGCCAGCCTTTGGACGTCATCCAGAGTCTCAATCCACATTCTCACGCACTTGTTACTTTGAGGTCCGTTTTAATATTATCCTCCGGCATATGTTTAACTGAGCCACATATTTGGTAGGTTCCGGGTATAAAGCTGCCGGTGAATGCAGCTATTTGCTCAAATTCCGTGCTGAGATTGCTGAAATCGGCTTTACCTCTGAGTAAATATGGGTTGCATTTTGCATTATTATTCACATTGCTACCCAACCATAACCAATAATCATTAAATGCAAATTTTGTTACGCACTGCAAGAAATCATAGAAGACAATAGCAACAATGCAATGAAAGTAGACACATTGAAGTTTGCTGAGTGTAGCTTATTGTTGCTGTGACAGTAATTTATTTAAACAATTCTGACTACAACGTACTGGTTCGTATTTTCTACATCTCGTTGAAAATACTTATAGGAAGGTATAAAATTTATGCTATTTTTATGACAAAGTTTGTGAATGTATGAGAACATTGTGCTTACTTTGTATGTAGACAGAAACCACTGTCTTTTGTGATATATAACATTATAACGAGAAGCAGTCATATTAAGCTGATACGTACCACAAGCAAAATTTGAAAACCATCTATTTTGATCAACATATTTGAAAGACTCTCAGACTTTGTTAATTATATTCTTACCGGTATTTGCTATAGAAATTTCGAATTCTTAATATTAGTCGCATTATGCTTACAAGAATCGCATCTTCTAAAATGTGCAGAAAATATTTGTTTTCTTCATCAGTTTGTTTTTGTATTAGACTGTCTGGCCTGTTTCAATACAGAATTAGCTTCCGAAGGTATGGATCCTTTCAGACATGTGTTACTACTCCTTGGGCGGGGAGTCGGCCCGTCTCAAGGTCCCAGCTTACACCGGGCAGCACAACACAGTCAAACGCGTAAGACCACGCCTTGAATGGGATTCGACCCTACGACTCCTGCGTTCTAGCACTACTTTGACCGACAGACAGAAAAGTCGACATTACAAAACAGCTTAAAATTAATGTAGCTAGGATTTTCGGTACCCACTCATAGTAACATTTAACGTTTTAAAGCCGAGTTTAACAATCGGCAACTCTGCGTTTTATATATACGTGTTTCGTAACATTGTCGGACTTAACCAAATTTTTTTTATTGAAAATCGTTTAACCAGTTGATCTTTGTAATGGTGGCGTGTTGTGTTTTCTTTGCGGTACGGACTGCGTTATTGTTTTTTTTTTAAGGGTTAAATGGCACTTCCATAAACCAAATGTAAACATTTGTTCTCAGTTTACACAATCGGTGATTTAGTGCGAGTCGAATGCGTTATTCAGTCTGGTAGCTTTTACTGTTTCCTTTGTTGGCACTATCGTCCCTGATTATTAGCTTACTTCCGACTGTTTCCTGTGTTGTTGCCAATCTAACAATGACAACCAGAAATATTCTGACACTACCGACATTTTTATAGAAATGCAGTCTTCACTTCAGTCCTGAAGATGGAAACGGTATATTTCTCCGAAATATTAGTATCTGCCTACGAGAGTTCATGGCGTCGCAACCCAGAAAAACAATTTTCTTCTTCTTGAATAACTTGCTGTTCAGTTCCAGTGTTTCTGTTTAGTGTTTATTGAAGACGAAGAAGACAATTATAGAACGGTTATGCTACTGTGGTTAAAGTGAGCTAAGGGTTTTTGGATCTTATTTCCTTCTCGGTACTTTACATCGGTGGTTCTCAACACTTTCTGACCGATACACCACCAGTGGGGGATCGGTTTTCTGTCACACATCGTATGATGATACGAATTTAATAATTGCTATCGTGTTTAAACATGTTTATTTAAATTTATAAATGAACGCTCCATAATTAGAATTAGTCACTTATAAGAAGTTAATAAGAATTTGTAATCAATGAGAGTTTATGCTTGACATTTCAAAAGAGATAATATATCGTGACAATATTTTACCAACTTTTCAGCCAGTAAAAATTCAAAACAATGTGATGTTAAATGCCTCCAGTTATGTATTTGATCTAGACACAGATACTTGGTAATAGGCCTATACTCGTAACCTAACCTCTCAGAATGACTTCAGTGTTTTCCTGTTGTTTCACATTAACATTGCGACCAACAAGTCTGTATAAAATTGAGGTCGTTATTGTGACTTCTCATTTGTAGGTACGTAAGAACAGTGTACTATGGCATGCCAATGCCACACCCACCATAAATAGAAACTTGACAGCCGGCTAAGTCATTGTATGTCATATATTTGTGGATTAGACGCTGTATCGTCATCGACACGTTCTTCAATGTAAAATTGGTCCAAGTGTACTTGAACTGGGCTCATTTAATGCGTTCTGGATGCATGAGGTCTGACTGTTTTTTTTGTCACCTTTGTTAAGTCCGGCCACATTCAAAGTAATTTGACTTTGTACTTCGCTGACTGTCGTACCTGGAACCACTCGTAGAAATCATTTTCCGGAAGTGCTTTCAGTATACATGTTGTTTTGGATGTTTTAATACAGGGATGTACAGCCAATTTGTTAACAAGGGGCTAGCACCAACAAGCTATATATATATTTTTTTTCTTTTCGTTTTGGCATTTAGAGCGAGACGGTCTGAAACCCCCCTGCAGCGCGCCCGTGTGTTAGAAGTGTTCCGAAACTACGCCCTTATATCGAGATTTTTAATTTAGGGAACATAAAAGTATC